AAATTTTTAATTTTTTTAGTCTTTAAACTATACTTTTTTTTATTATTTTGTTAATTAATCTATTAAATTTGTCTATATATTTTTTTTTAGTTCTTAAAATTATAAATTCAAGAATTAAAAATGTTTATATATAGACTAATTTAACGGACTAAATTGATAGAAGAACAAAAAAAAAAGGTATTTTTCATAAAAAGTACAAAAAATACTATAGGGATTAAAATGTTTAAAATTAAAAGTTGAGGGACTAAATTGGTATTAAGCATACCAAAAAAGTCAACACTATAATCGTCCCCCCTACTAACTTGTTCTCTGTGCGCAATACACCTGCGCCGCGCCAGAACAATTGCCAATTCGCCATTCCCCGATAAGGGAAAATTCTATAACACTGTTATCTCCCTAGCCTCTGTCTCTCCGAACCCTAGCTAAATCCCATCACAAAATTAGGGTTAGCCTCAAAACTCCATCAGGTAATTTCCACCTCATTCGACTTTCAGTTTCTCTTAATTTCTATCTGTTCGCCCTAATTTTTCGTGCCGATATGTGTGAACATAGAATTCTGTATGCTTAAATCTCTTGACATTTCGTTGATATTGCAGTGAAAATTTTGAACTTTGTATCTGATGGATGATGGGTTTGGGTGTATTAATTGTAATTCCGTTTATCATTGCACTTGGGATTTGAATCTGAGCAATTTGTTGAATTTTCTTTGTTTTCTCCTGGTGGCATATGATTATTTTAAGGACAACTACGGAAAAACTATATCGTGCAAGATAAAGTTTAGAACTTGGGCAGAATTTGTTATGGGCATGAAGCTTTCCACCCTATTTTTTGCATATGTTTCTGCAGTTAAAGAAAGCAAGCTTTTTTACTAAATGGGTTTTGTTATAGTAGCCCCAGGTACTACTCATTTTTCAGCAATGTTGTTTTAATTGGTTGTTGTGCAGAATGGCATCTGTATCAAGCCAGCCACAGTTCAGATACACCCAACCCCCGTCAAAAGTGCTCCATTTAAGAAACTTGCCATGGGAGTGCACAGAGGAAGAGTTGATCGAACTTGGGAAGCCGTTTGGTAAAGTTGTGAACACAAAGTGCAATGTTGGAGCAAACCGTAATCAAGCTTTCATTGAGTTTGTAAGTGTGATTGGATTGTCTTTCTTCTTCTGGATAATATTGTTGGTTCTTTATTTTCTAAATTTTGGTCTAAAATTTCTGTGATGGTACGGATTGGAAGTTGCATTTTTTACATATCTTATTATATTTCAGGCTGACTTGAATCAAGCTATTAATATGATATCGTATTATGCTTCATCTTCGGAGCCAGCTCAAGTACGGGGAAAGACTGTCTATCTGCAATACTCTAATAGGCAAGAAATTGTAAACAACAAAACAGCTGCTGATGTTGCTGGAAATGTACTCCTGGTGACAATTGAGGGTGATGATGCACGCCAAGTGAGCATTGATGTCTTACATCTGGTACGAAAATTGTGACATTGTGTATTCTCTTTTGGCTAAAAGAGGTGAACTTACTAAGGATGTTTCCAATGAATTACTGTAATTAGGTTGTAGTCTGTCATGCTTTGAAAAGCTTTTGTTTGACATGAATATGAATGGATCGGCAGGCCCATGTCAAGGCAATATCTACAATGGCAGATTAGTGCATCGGGGGAAAGAGCACATGTGTGTTTGTCTCCTTTCTCCTCTCCTTAACACTGCCTCTTTCTTCCCTACTTTTCTCAACTCCTATTCATACCATTTTAGTAAAATAAGCTGCCTTTCCCACTTTCTTGTGTTCATCATTCCCTCTCTAAGTTTTTTCACTCTCTTTTTCTTTTCTTTTTTTTCCCCTTTAATGATAAAGACATTGTATTCTTTTGTATTTTTTGGCCATCCATTGTATTCTTTGTTGATAATGCTAATTTTGCATCAACTTAGTTGCTAGCTTTTTACTTTATAGTCTTGAATCCTTATTTCATATCTTTGACCTGGTGCCAGTTATTTCCATTTTATTTATTAGAGAAGGATTTCCTATGAACGGTGTTTTGGCTATAGAAATTGAGAAGATGTGGTCAATATTCATATTTCTCCCAAAAAGGTCCTTTAAGTGAGTTGAACAATGGGCAGAAATGGTTGCCTCACCTAACATTTGAATTTCTATGTCTATTTTCTTCTGTGTCTATAGGCTAGTGTCTGTGTCCTATTTTGTAGCAGTTATCTTGACAAAGCTGTCGATTTGATATGTCCCAAAATTGTTAACATCTTGCTTGGAAATGGTAGAATATGCATAAGCAATTTCTTCAAAATGTAAAGCTGTCTGCTTTGAGTCAAATTTATTGCTTCCACTAATCATGCATTGCACCCATATATTTTAGATTAATCTAAGTTCCTGTTTTCTGGGGTAAATGTTAGGAAGAATTATAGATTGAAGTTGCCCTTTTGATTTTTTTCAGATTAGTGTCCTTTCAATTTCAACTTCTCTTTCTAAAGCTATTTAATGATGCAGGTATTTTCAGCTTTTGGATTCGTGCATAAGATTACTACTTTTGAGAAGACAGCTGGGTTTCAGGTGAATGGATTTGACCTATTCCCTCTGATTTTATCTTGCCTGAGCATCTGACAATAAGCTCATGTTCTAAATGACCTTTGCAGGCACTGGTGCAGTTTTCTGACACAGACACAGCCTCCTCTGCAAAAAATGCACTGGATGGACGAAGCATCCCTAGGTGACAGTTGAATTAATTATTAGACACGGTATTTAGTCAAACTATTATGGAGACTATAAACTTTAGACGCGGTGCACGTGAATTGGGCACAGGCGTCTATGTGGCCTTTTGAGCTTTTAAATCTTCCAATTTCTAGTCTGTAGGCTTTCTTCTAATCTTGGGAAAGACAAAGAATTCACTAAGTTATTGTTTAATCTAGTGTTCCTAGATTCCACAGTCTAAGCAATTCTCCTCACCACTTTAAATCATTGTTAGTGTTAAACTTGTTCTGTAGAACAATTTATTGATTTACTTGTCCTGGATATCAGGTATCTGCTTCCTGAGCATATGGGTCCGTGTGCGCTTAGGATCACATATTCTGCTCACACTGATTTGAGTGTGAAATTTCAGAGCCACCGAAGCAGGTATTCGATTCTGTTTCTTTTGATGTCTCGTTTGTCATTTTTGTCACATTCAAGATAAACAAAATTATTTTTGAATCATTGACTTTTTTCTTCTCATTTGCTCTATTTGCATTGTGTTTTGTGCTTTCACTTCCAAAATTTCCCTCATTCCTCCACTATCCTATTTATCTACTTCTCATCACTCTGTTGGTTGCTGTTTCCTCACTGTGTTAATGCTGAATTTCATGTTCGTTCTTTCTTTCTTTCTTTCAGGGACTATACAAACCCCTACCTTCCTGTTGCACCATCGGCTATAGATGGAAATGGTCAGGTAAGGAGGTAGCAGGAGATATAAGTGCATCCAGATGCAAGTATTTGGAGACTATACTTCTACTAATAAATGAATAAGGTTGCTGCCTTATTACAATGGGTTCTGCATAGTGATTGACTAATTGAGATTCATTTGCTATCTTTGCAGTTGAGTTTGAGTCTCGATGGGAAAAAGTTAGAACCAGAGAGTAATGTTCTTCTTGCATCTATTGAGAACATGCAATATGCTGTTACCTTGGATGTTCTACACATGGTATTTGCAATTTTGTTAAACTTTTTTTTTTTTTTTGGGCATATTCTTGTATTATTCCATCTCAAACTTATTGTTTTGCCAACTTGCTTTTATTTTTTATCAGGTCTTTTCTGCTTTTGGTCCAGTTCAAAAGATTGCAATGTTTGATAAGAATGGTGGACTTCAGGCTTTGGTTCAGTACCCTGGTAATCTCCAAGTGTGGCTACATCTTTTAAAATGGAAAGTGTGCTTGATGTCAGGCCTTAGAACTTTGTAAACTTCTGATTAAAGTTATTATTATTATTATCCATTAGGTTTTCATTTGCTTCAGACCTTACACGGTCAATATTTCTTTTGAGGCTTTGTTTGCGACTGCTGGGCTGTGCTGTTGTAGGTTTTTTTTCTTTTCCTATACCAAAAATATATAAAACATTAATTATAATTAATTACTTATGATAAATTTACATTTTTAGATAATGTGCTGTGGGAAAAAGTGCTGTGTGCAGCACTTCCAAATGAAGTCTAAATTTGTTTTGTGGTTCATCATCACAGCATTTCAAAAATTTCCAGAAAGTCATGCATTTTGGCTGCAAAGACTTGTAATGCAAACTCTATATTCTTTCCTCCTAAACTATCCCTTTCTGAAGTTTTTATTTCCCTAAATGATTTATTCCTAAAATTTTCCTCTTTTTTTTTTTTTTCCTTGGCATCGTAAATTATGAAATGTTCTTATATTTACAGATTTACAAGACAAAGATAGGAAACAGAGTGAACCTATTTATCTGTTGTTGTCTCTTGAGATTTAATTGTTAGGTTCATAGGTTGAAGTATCAATGATTCCATGAATTGCAGATGTTCAGATGGCTGTTGTTGCCAAAGAAGCCTTGGAAGGGCATTGCATTTATGATGGGGGGTTTTGTAAGCTTCACATCTCATATTCTCGCCATACTGATCTCAGCATAAAGGTAATTCAGCAATGTCCTCAAGATGAGTTTATTTTGCATTTGCCACAATTTTTATTGACTATGGCAGTTTAGTTATATGGTATGTGATTGCTTTTTAACAAATGCACACATGTGCAATACATGTGAACTCATACATATATAGGATCAAAGAAAATTGTCAGTGAAGTCTTAGTGTGTAAAGTAATGACTTTTACATTTTCTTT